GTGGCCCTGCACGGTATAGCTCATGGCTTCACTGAGTTACGCAAGCCCCTTCGCCACTACAGGGCAGTGATCCATGAAGGGGTGAGACAGATTATATCTACCTTAACAATTCCTGTGCCTGGAACCTCTCTACTGAGGTATTTGCAACGGTGTAACTTTGTAATAAAGAATGGGTTTCCATTTTTTTAAACAGTCTTCTATCCTGAATTTATTGTGAAAGATCTGAGAATTTCCAATTGCTAATTTTAAGAGATTTTGGTTAGGACTATTACTTTACACTACTGTGTTCATAGCTTGTTAGGCAACTTTATAATTTTTTTCCCCCTTAGCAGATGAAATGCAGTTTGTGTGTTTTATGATCATCCAGTATTTTGATTAGATATTTTAGAGAAAATAATTATTTGAAACTTCACTGAGCCAAACCATGGCAGCCTATTTGAAAATCTGCTTCTTTAAAATATTTGAAAGAATATTGCTATGCCAGATAAGTTGTTCCAATTTGTAGATCAGCATTTGGCACAAAGTAAAGGAGCATTGCTCCCACAGATTTTGCATCTAACTTTTGCCCTGCTTTTTAAAAAAAAATTCTTGAGCCTCCCTTTCACTTTTGTACTTTGCACCAAGAGATTTCTTATTAACAATTGTATTTTCTTTTCTTTTTTAGTCACATCAACAGGAAAACACAGTATGAGAATCCAGTTCTGGAAGCAAAAAGGAAAAAGCAGCTTGAGCAACAGCCACCAGCACAACCACCAGCACAGCCACCTGAAGGTTGGCACCTCCTGGATAGAATCACCACTGTTGAAAGATTGGCTTAATGCCACACAGGCACACTTTCCCTAAAGTTTCATATTTTTGGTCAATCAATTTCTGGACGAGGTTGGCTTCCTTCCTGCGTGAAGACACAGGGAACCTAAAGTTACTTAACAGGAACATTTAAGACAAATAATCTACTCACCCAAACTATTATGCACCCATTATGAAAAATAATCTGTGGGGTCTGTATGGGGAATCCTCTGGGGTTGTGACTTGAAATTTGAACTTGAACTATGTGTGCTTGAGACATGCTTAAAACACTCTTTGTGGAAATGGTAAAGTACATGTTTGGTATACACAAAGTCCCATGCTCAATTCTTGTCATCACACACACACACGCACACACATAAAAGACAAAAAGATAAGGTTGCAAGGCTAGGAAAACTGTGAGTGCAGCTTCAAGCTAATGCAAGTGCATTCCGTATGCCCAAATCATCACATAATTATATTAAGATTATTCTAAAGCAAACAGAAATTATCCCAAACTAGAATAATTTGTTAAAAAAAAAGGTAATGCTTGTTCGTTTGTTTGTTTATGTATTTATTATTCTTATCTGCCCACCTGAAACCAGCTGGACTCTAGGTGGCTTACAGAGTACAGGAATTAAATAAGAAAAAATAAATGAAAAGGACTAAAAATACAAAGCTAAAAATGATCAAAATGTAATAGTGGCATTGTTACCAACCGAAGTGAATATGTGTAGCTCAGGGTTGAACTGTGGAGTCCTTGGGGTACTCTGAGCTTGGCTGTTTTCTTGCAAACGTTTCATTACCCGGCTAGGTAACATCTTCAGAGCACTGATGATGTTACCTAGCCAGGTAATGAAGCATTTGCAAGAAAACAGCCAAGCTCAGAGAACCCCAAGGACTCCACAGTAGCATTGTTATAGAACAATTCATCTCCAAAGGAAAAGCCATGTTTCACTTGTTTCTAGAAGCCCTGAGGGTCAGGGCCAAACATGCTCCTTGAGCAAGCTGTTCCAGAGGAGGGGAACTGCCATAGAAAATGCTCACTGTTGGGCTACCTCCTCCTATCAGGAGGTAGATAGAAGGAACCCTCAGTAGGTGCTGTCTAGTGGTTTGGTAGGATGGGCAGAAATTAATGGGGAAATGTGGAGAATCAAGAACTATTTCCCATGTATATGTAGCAGAATCAAGAGAATAATCTGAATAGGTAGTGCAACATAAAAGAAGCACTGATTTCTTAAGATGGATACTAAAACATTAACCCTGTAGTCTGGATATCCATAGGCTTTCTCTTTTTTCTCCATCAATCCAGCTTAGATGCTGCTTCTGCAATTACTTCTCATGATTTGGAAGAGAAATCTCAGGTTCTCTCTGCTGTCGTATACAGAAACACAGGACTTATTTATTTATTTATTTACTTATTTATTTACTTACTGATATAAGAAAGAGGGAGCAGAAAACAACATTCATTCACTCACTCACTCACTCACTTACTGATATAAGAAAGAGGGAGCAGAAAACGTTATTCCAAACATTTCCTGGTAGGCAAATTTGTTTGATAAATCATAGCTATTATGTCTCATTGGTTTTTTTCCATTGATCATTTTTCTCCATCCATTCTCTAATATGCAAAATAAATGAATATTAGGGTGGTAGTCTAAATAACTTAGGTGTATTCTAAGATCTTGTCTACCCCGGCAGTGATATGTATTGTTGCAGCTAATAAATTCTCCTGTATCTATGGCCAGTATGTTCAATTCACTGGTTAGTCTCCCATTCACATTTCCAGCTCTTGCTTGGTTAATCTCGTTGCCTACTCTTGATCAGCGTAGGCAGTTAGTTGAGGATGATGGATCGCAGTTTGCTGCTCCTCTTCCTGAGAAGTCTCTGAGGGATGCCAACAAAATCTGTTGTCACAAGTCTTCTGAGGGAAATCAAAGGAAGGGGACTGAGGCCTAGAGTCAGAATAGAGCCTGCATTAATGATGTGCAAAACAAGAGTGGTTCATTGTGGGGCTGGATCCTATATAGAAAAGCACAAAAGCAGATGATACACTTCAAAAACAATACATGAATCACTCTGCTTTGCATATCCTAGTCTGCATGTAAATCCCCTTTGGATTATAGAACTGATTTCTAATGGTTAAAATAAAAGAGTAAAACCTCTTTCTTTCTTTCTTTTTCAGAATGGACTGAAGAGAATCCCCCGCTTGCCCCTCCTGTTGTTCCAAACCATGTTCCCACTAGCCAGGAGACAGTTAGAGATGTTCCAGTACAAGGTAAATTGCTATATGGGTTATTTACTTTATTTTTAAAAAAAGAGTTAGAGAACAGCATTATTTATCCAAAACAGATCTCTTAGGACCTTCAGGAACATTCATCCCAACTTTACTCCTTCCTCGGATGGTTTGGTGTTCCCACTGACTTTCATCAACTTAGATGCTTCTGGGGTTATCACAACCACTATCGCCATCTCCAAATAAGAACACAGTACTTATTAATTCAGTATTATTAATTCCTACTATTCTCTTCATCCTAGAAAGTAACTTTCCAATAAGTTAAAGTCTGGAATAGGAAGAATAGAAAAGACCATAAATTGTACAATATAATTGTGTAAGATTATACACAATTGGCACATTTAATACCCCGCCTCCAGTGTGTCTAAACTGAACTAGACAGTGTGTCTAAACTGTTACAGAATTTCAGGCAGACATTTAGGAATATGTATTAATAAGGGATTTTTAGTGCTAACTGTGATGCTGTCTCTATTCCAAGAAAAATATTACTGTACATAATATTACATTCTTATCTGCTCATCCTTCGAAGTGCTCAGAGCAGCAATGAAATGCTCAGATTCAGGGTTTGGAAGACATTAAGGCAGGATCCTTTGTACTCCCTCTTTTCCACTGTAGTTTCCTGCATTTGTGAAATGCTGCACTTAGGACTCTACCCCTCTCAATGGTTTGGGGGTGCCAAAGTGCAATGGGAAAGGGAACATTAAAGAATATTGGGCATCTTCAGCTTGATATGAACCAGATGTATTAGTGGTATGGAAGCTCAATGTGTTATTGTATATACAGTATGTTATTAATAACATGCAACAAGAAGTGAAAGACTAAAGGGTGGGAATTCAGATGCCTGATGGCAAGGGACTATCCCCAGGGAATACCTGTGGGTATTACCACATCCCCTACTTAAGGTCTTCCTAGACACAATCAGAAACGAGGAACTGAACTAAATGGATCATTGATCTGGGCTAATTTTTGTAAACAGGTTTTTCTTTTGAAGAAGGGAAAGTACATTATCACTCTGTTTTTGATTATTTACCATTAATATCAGAAGAAAGTCTTGAAGATGTTCTGGCTTAGAATATTTGGGAATAAACAATTTAGAATTTTTTTTTTCTGTCCCTGTTGAATTAGAGTGTACGTATATACAAAGCAAGTCCTGTTACACTTTATTATTTGTTTCATTTCGATCATGTTTGTGGTTGAATAACTTCAAAGATGGTGTGGAACTCCTCCTGAGTTCCTTTGGAATTATATAAAGATAACTCTGGAGTGATTTTCTGTTATAGTAGCCAATCAAAAAGAAGACAGTCCATTCATGCAGAAAATTCTGCCTTTTAATTGTTTTCCTTTCCTGCACAGTACACAATTGCCCATTAATTAGAAATGCCAGAATAGTTGCTCTCAGATGCATCCACCTTTATGTCAGAGAGCCTGAATCAGAGTCCCAGCGTGTTTGAGTCCTTCCTAGGACTAGTTAAATGTGTGCCTGCCCCATGTAGCTAGGCTTTGGACTTCAGCTGATAAAAACTGGGGCTTTAGTTGCAGTGACTGTGTACCAGAAATACAACAAGGAACGAACACGTACAAAACGTATGCAAGGCTCGTGCGCAATGCACCCTTTTATTAAAATTTCAATATTGTTTATTTTAATTGATATTATGTAGAGTAGCAAACTGTCATGCGTATATACATGCTATGTCCTTTCAGGGTCAGCAACACAATACAGAGCATAGCAAAGGAATAAGAAATAGTAAGCCAAAGGAATTAAAAGCATAAGAAGAAAGAAAGAAAGAAAGAAAGAAAGAAAGAAAGAAAGAAAGAAAGAAAGAAAGAAAGAAAGAAAGAAAGAAAGAAAGAAAGAAAGAAAGAAAGCTAAATCTAGTTAATAGCAATACCATTCATGATGCCTTTCCATACCTTTGCAAGCCTTGCAAACAAACCAGGTTTTTGCCTCATTTATCCACCATTTCATAGATTGCCTTTTGTTTTTTAACTCCTCACCTCTCTTTCTGAAGATTTCACCATCCAACCACAACTTTCTCAGGCTTCCTCTTCATCTCCTTTGATTCACTGATTCTTCCTTCATAAGTTGTATAATTGTATAAATAAATAAAAATAACACCCCTCCATCTATTATTTTTTGTTTTAGTTTGGTTTTCATATCTTTTAATGTATTTATTGATTATTTTAGCCCTGTTGTACACTGCCCAGAGTCACTTGCTTGTGAGATGAGCTGCTATATAAATTGTATAAATAAATAAATAAAATAAGTTTTCAATTTCATTCCATATTCATTCTCTCCATGTGACAAGACAACCTCAACTAGCTTCTTCCATGCTAGTGAGTCACTTTTGTGTTCAGTCGATACTGATATAGCTCCTATTTGTTCAAGTCCCTCCTTGTTTTACCATACTGTACCAAATTCTAGCTGCCCAGAGCCACTTAGGTGAGATGGGTGGCCATACAAACAAATCAAGCCAAGCCAAGCCAAGCCAA